TTTGGCTTTGGGCCTATAACATTTTTTCTGAAATATCACTGAATGAGGCAATTTTTAAAGATACAAATAGAAACCCAGCTGCGGCACTTCTCCACTTAAATTGGCCTTTTAAATCTAAAAAACTTACTTGTTTGGCTATTCATTGTTTTATTGCTTCTAAAATTATTATAGCTAGACAGCTATAATAGCTAATAGCTATTAGCTATTATAGCTAATAGCTAAAACCTCTCTGATTCATCAGATAAAATTTCAACTAACAATGGAAAATGATATGCTTAAAAATTCCCCAGTGTTATCTAAAAAATGTGACTGGTATACAACTTGGTTAAAAAACTGTTCTCTACTCTATGGTAATTCATAATTTTAAATTATATGTTTATTATGTTCTAATTACAATATTAGAATTGAGTAGGGTAACTTATACTAGGGACAATACGCATTATGATAATGCCGAACATTTCCATTGATATATCTTCCAATAGTTGTTTATAGAGTTCTATACAAATTATACCAATGACTTCATGATATATGATTTGTTATTTATTTTTTTATTTTTTTATTTTTGTTTGTGACTGATGGTTATATTTTAAAGAATGTACTTTTTGTATATAATAAGATTCATTTATACCAATCGATTGTATTTTGTCGAAATTGTTGTAAGTATAGTTTGTGATGTGATGTAGTTTAAAAACAAAACTTTTCTAATAAAGAATAATAAAAAAATAAAAAAAAAGAAACAACAAATTATGATTTTGGTATTTGACTTTGTCTACCTAGACACGCGAGCAAACACGAAATATTAAATGCCAGCTTCTGATGTTAAAAAAAAGAAATGAAGAAGAACCTATAATTAAGAATATATCATTTAAGTTGGATTATACATGACATTACTCCTCTTTAATTTTTTTTTATTAATAGCCAATATGTGAGTATATAATTAATACTTTTTATTAATATCAAAAATCGATGTTATGGCAGTGTATCCTATTATTAATTTAAGTTAAGAGTTAACTCACTAGTTTTACAAAGTATAAAACTAACTGAGATCAGTTGGGCAATCTGAGAAAATATGATACAATGAATCCAATATTGCCTATTATGCTACCTTCAGACCCCATAGGGCAGACACAATTTTACATGCACCCTTACTCCTTTTGGATCTTTTGGTTTTGGGGAGATTGCCCTGTCTAGAGCCTACTTATTTGAAACAGATAAAAAATACTCCTTTCTTTCAAAGGTTACTCTCAAGACGATCTCTATTATTCCTCAGTACTGTTATTGAGAAAGAAAATTGCAAATCTATAATTTTTTTTATTATTCTAACACTATATATTAAAATATTAAAAACATATTACTAATCAATAGTGATGTCCCGAACGGTTCGCCGAATGGTGCGCCACGGATGGCGAACATATGCGCTGTTCGGTCCGCCCCCTATGTCATCATTGAGTAAACTTTGACCCTGTACCTCACAGTCAGCAGACACATTCCAGCCAATCAGCAGCAGACCCTCCCTCCCAGACCATCCCACCTCCTGGACAGCTCACTAAGAATGCAGCTTGCAAATGGATGCTGTCCAGGAGGTGGGAGGGTCTGGGAGGGAGGGTCTGCTGCTGATTGGCTGGAATGTGTCTGCTGACTGTGAGGTACAGGGTCAAAGTTTACTCAATGATGACAAATAGGGGGCGGACCGAACAGCGCATATGTTCGCCGTCCGCGGCGAACCGTTCAGGACATCACTACTAATAAACATATATCTATATTCTAACAATAAAGTCACAGAGTAACACAAATCTAGATATACTGAGATAACATAAAATGATTGTCTCATAAGCTATATACCCATCTTTTAAGCTATTACTTATAATGTAAAGTGTCTACACTTACTACAGATATTTCTGCAAGAATTTATTCATACTTTGAGGTGAATCGAAGGACAGATATGTCAGTTGAGTAAAACTATACCCAACTCTCGGACTCAAAATCTGGAAAGTGCTGGATTCAATCTTTGATGTAACACTATCGCCATGATGGACTGGCCATAAACGGACCAGGCTATGACGCAAAAAGCATCATCGAAATAAATTAACTCATCATGACTTAATTGCTTAATAGTAACATCACAAACTCATTATCATAAAACACACCCCAATATTTCATTAGTAGATACAGAAAGTATGCAGAAATGAAGGAGGTAACTAATCCCTTTTAAAAGTAGCAACGCAAGGAGAAAGATGGGATTCTCTTGTGTCCAAATATTAACATATTTGGATACAAGAGAATACTATTCCGTAAAAATACAAAATATAGTCTGTATCTTGAAATGGGTTTAAGCAGCACTCATTTTAAAATACAATATTCGGGCATTGGCCTTAATTCTATTCTAATTTGTAAATGCAAATATTTTAAGACTTATTCTTTTAATACTTATCTGTAGGAAACAACAGACCGGAATTATTTTATAGGTTAGATCATAAAATTGTGCTACTACATTCTTCTAATTGGTTAAGACAGAAACCATAGCTAAAAGAATGTTTTAATTCTGTTGCCAGTTACCCAAGAAATTACAAATTATTTCTTGTATTATTCAGTAATTTAAAATTATTAAATTCTGTAGTAGTGAGAGGTTTTAAACTACTTGAGATTTTTTTTTGTTTCTGGATGGTAAAAATACTAGTTCATTTAACTAACTGTGTTGAAATAGCTCAAAGGTATTGAAATATTGTACCATGCTTTTCAAATGTTTTAACGTGTTTGCTCAGTGAAAATTGGTGCCAGTAGTGAGAGAGTTAATTAGTGTTGCACGGTGAAACAACCCAACTGATTATTTACCTTATCTGCCTGTTAGCATCTGTTTAGTTGTGTACTCTGTCTGCTACAATTTTTAAGTGTCCAATGTTTAAAAGACATCATTCATTATAAAAATAACACATTTAGTTATTTCATATGTTGATTTCATAATGAATGTTGTGTGTTTAAATTGGCATAATCCCTTTAGAAATTAACTGAGTATTCCTGGACCTTTGTTTCATAGGAGATAACAAGCTGATGGCATTATCTGTGTACTAATACAGTTAAATTACTTGCTATGTATGCTGCCCCCTACTGGTAGATCATTTCTTTTGCCGACTACTAATATCATCACTCTAATACATAGTGATTTATTGTGGTTATTGTAATCATAATATTGCCATATTCTGCTTCATATTGTTGTTGCAAATATTCACTGATACAGTCTGTAAGCTTGTTTGAGCAGGGTCCTCTTCAACCTATTGTTCCTGTAAGTTTTCTTGTAATTGTCCTATTTATTGTTACATCCCCCCTCTCAAAATATTGTAAAGCGCTACGGAATCTGTTGGCGCTATATAAATGGCAATAATAATAATAATAATAATAATACACAAATGTTTATTTAATTAACTATCACAATAAACTTATATGTTTATACAGTAGATCTTGTGAATGATTGTGTGAAATCTAAATTCTAAAAGAATAAACATATACAAGGATCTAATAGGATTAAAATTAGTGAGTTAGCTCTTAGCGTAAATTAATAACAGGTTACATTGCAATAATATAGATTTTTGATATTAATACAAATTATGAATACATTTTTGATAATTTTATAAAAACATTATTTGTAATATTTTATTACCCCAAATATATTCTCACAGCATCCAACTAAAAAGAAACAAGGAATGATATAACAGTGCTTTATGAGGACAGGCCCTCCAGAAACCCCAAAAACCTAGAGTTTGATGTGATGGATGTTGCCTAGCAACCAACACCAACAATTTAGTGAAAATACCAAGGAGTATTTGATGCAAAGTGCAGTTACTGATTGAGTCCTTTTAGCAAGCCACTCCCCGACCCACTAGCCCTGAAAATTCAGACCAGGCAATTAGAGCTTTAAAACTGATGAATGTATCATAGCATGTTGTGGCGAGTAACATTTAGGTCTTTGTAGTAGTATAGAACACTTGCTCACTATATCATAGTTTGTAGATCATTTACTTAAGGAAACACTATAGAGTCAGGAATACAAACACTATAGAGTCAGGAATACTATAGAGTCCTAACACTATAGTGTTAAACTAGCTGTGTAGGTAACCGGACTCCTATCTGTGGAGTTAAAAGGGGAGTTTACTTATCTTTTATCCCTCGCTGAGTTTTTCCCAGACTGGCCTTGCCTCCATGGCTGATATCATCATATTTGACAATCTCAGCCAATCAAATGCTTTCCCTTAGAAAGTATTTGGAGACTATTGTGCATGCACAGCAAAATGCCGTGTCAATCACCATCTACTCATAGAGGTGCAGTGAGTCAATGTATCTCTATGAGGGAACTTTCTGCGCCTCAATGCAGAGCGTGGAGACGCCGAATGCCAGTGCTGCATGCATACTTTGCAACACTGACCGAAGAAGCACCTACAGTATCTGTCTGAGTGACTGTCACTAGAGGTGTTCCTAGGCAGTAATGCCCACACTGCCTTTTACATTAACAAGCCCGCAGGGACAGGCTATAGACACCAGAACCAGTACATTAAGCTCTAGTGGTTCTGGTAATTATAGTGTCCCTTTCAGCTGTTATTTTAATACAAATTAAATTGGAATTATTATTTTACTAAATGGTTAACTTTCACTGTATTTAATTGTCTGCATATTTATCTGTCTATCATCTATCATATTTGTTTCTGCTCATCCCAGGATTTGTTCATCCTGCTATTGAATGAAAAATGTTTGTGCACATTATAGATTCGAAATTCTTCAAAGACAAAAAAACTGCATTTGTTCAAAAAATGAAAGGAATATTAAGATACTGAGCCGTAGACATATCACTAATGTACTTTTAAAGCTTTTGCATTTGTACAGTTCCTGAAAAAGGGTGTGCTATGCTAACATTAATTGTTCTATGAGAAACAATTTGTCCGAGTGATAACCATCAATTAGAAATAAATGCATTAATGGAATGAAAGAGTGAGAGAGAGAGAGCACTACAGACTTGATTAAAATCATAACGGTGGAGACAGAAGTTGTAAAATGCTAAATCCAGTATGGTCACTGAACAATGAAGATCTACAGGCGTTGAAGAACAAATGTATGCCCTTGCAAAGGAGGTGAGGAAACAAACACAATGATTCTAAACAGTTAAGGAGAAAGGAATACGGTATAATGTAAAAGATACAGCTGTTTGTGGGAATAAATGTAATAGACTTATTCAATGAAGTCATTGGACAATTAGTTTTTAATGGGCTAAATTGCCTGGAATACATTAGAAGTTGATTCTAATCCAAACCAATCATTAGCAGTTTCTCTTGTTATTAGAGACATTAAGGATAGAGCATAAGGCAACGTTGCTACATTTAATCTGGGTCTGAAGAATATCTCAACTGGGATCTTTAAGAAACAGTGGGTTCTAAACATAAGTGTACAGAGAAGCCAAACTTTTTCATAAGGATCTAAGGAGCTTTAAAGAGGAACTTCTAAAATTTACAACAAACAAACTATTTCAGAACGAAAACCCTCAGATCACAAGCTACAATGTCACCAGTGACCGCCTGGATCTACTTCGGTTTATGGTCTCCACTCATTAGCTATGCAGGTCAGTTTATAAATGTGTTTATAAGTTTGTATATATTAAAATGTTGAAACGCTGAACATTTTACTGCAATGGATATAGAAAATGTAACTTTGCCTTATAACTAATATTTCAAGTATATATCAGACTTGTACATTTGGTTTCAAATGACTTGTAATTCATCCAAATTGCACAACTTTGCAATGCCATATGATCCGTGATTTGGAGTTTTGCCCATGTTATAAAACGAAAGAAAAAGTTGATTGATGGGAAAAGATAGTTGATGGTTAGAGAACAGCTTCAAAATTAAATTGCTTTGTGTTCTAAACATTAGTCACACAATATTGTGATAACTAAATATATATATATATACATTAAGTCACTTCCTTGGATTTTTTTGTTCTGAAAAAGAAAATTTAAATAAGACATAACAACTCTTTATCCTGCAACTGGGTACCACCATCTTAGTACTGTGTCAATCATTGTAACGTGCCCTATATTTACATCTGGCTGTCAGTAGAGAGAACGTATAATTATTAATAGCCAGGGCTTAAAATTTGAACTACTACTAGATATGCCTTAAAGGTTGCTCACCATTGCAAGCCATAGTATACACTGCAAAGGTAAGGGTGAATTTCTACTCACCAGGGCTAAATTTCAACTTGCCAATTGCTAGTGCGATCGGAGATTTTGAGCCCTGATTACTAGCATTAATAAAGTGTCAGCATATTTTACAGCACTGTACAATTGGGGAAAAGGACAATACAATATACACCGACCGATACAAAAGATATAGATTACTCTCAAGATCTAGTCACGGAAGCTGTTTCATACAAATTATTTAGCTAGATAGGCTGTGAGCTTACAATCTGAAGGTTAAAAAGTTGAGCCCAAACTAGTATAGGTAATCTGAAGCCAGAGAGAATTAAATGATAAATGGAGCTACAGGCAACATGTCAATGGAAATGAGGAGGCATTTTAATGAAATCTCAAACAGTTGGGGAAGCATGGCTACAAAGTTAGATGGAACCAGGGTGGGCAAGTTGGAAGTGCTCAGTGGAATTTAAGTTTTTCTTTTGTTTGTTGGGCTTCCAGACTGAGGCCTAAGGAACTGTTTTTATTGGTAGATGGGGAAAGGGGTGGAGAGGGGAGGAACAAACATGTGTTGTTTACAATTGAAAAGTGTGCCATCCAAATTCTATTAGCCACAATATTAACAATTATGTACACAAAATATTGGTAAAATACATTTAGTGAAAAAACAAAACAAAAAAACAAAACAAACTGCATGTATAGAAAATGGAAAATTACTGTGGAGACTAGTGGAATAAATGATAACATTGTTATAATAACAAATAATAATATGGTAACAACGGTGGAATAAATCAGATAAGTATCCTGCAAGTTACATTCAGTACCTGAAAGTTACAAGGAGAGGTGGACTTTTATTTTTTCTCTTATATAAAAAGAAGAAAATAAATTAAACAATGTTTATATTTCTCATCCTCAGTATTTGCTGTGGAGGAATGACCTGAATTGTGATGTAATTTGCTAAATCTTTAATATAAATCTAAAAAAAGGAAATTGAACATCACATGAAAAAAAAAGTTATGGGCCGTTTTCAATATTTTAGTGGCATACACTGAACAGCCACAACATTAAGACCACTGACAGGTGAAGTGAATAGCATTGGTCATATGTGTTGAAAGCAGGAAAAATGGGCAAGATTAAATGATCTGAGTAACTTTGACAAGGACCAAACAGATGACTTGTTCAGAGCATCAACAAAACGTCAAGTCTTGTGGGTTCTTCCCAGTATGCAGTGGCTAGTACTTACCAAAAGTGGTGCAAGTGCGGACAACAGTGAACCGGCATCAGGTCATGTGTGTACAAGGCTCATTGGTGGAGTGAAGGCCAGTCCATAGCTCAAATTGTTGAAAAAATTGATATTGGCCATGTTAGAAAGGTGTAAAAACAAACAGTGCTTTGCAGTTTGCTGTGTATGTGGCTACATTGCTGCAGACTGGCCAGAGTGCCCATGATGACACCTGTCCACCTCAAAAAGTTCCTTCAGTGAGCTTCAGAACTGGAAGGTTGCTTTTTCTTTTATATTAGATGTATGTGTGCATTGTTTATCTGGGAAATAAGACAGCCTGTGGAGGCAGTGTTATGCTCTGGGCAATGTTCTGCTGGAAAACCCTGGATCCTGGCATTCATAGGGATGTTCCTTTGACATATACGACCTAAATTCCAGAGATCTCCGACTGAACATGTGCAATGTGCTATAACAACAAATATGATCCATGGGGGCCCCACCATGCAACTTGCAGGATTTAAAGGATCTGCCGCTAAGGTCTTCATGCCAGATACCACAGGACAAATTCAGAGATCTTGTGTAGTCCATGGTTCGATGCACCAGAGCGGTTTTCACAGCATGAGGGGGACTTAGATGATTTTAGGCAGGTGGTTTAAATGTTGAGGCTGATCAATGTAAATTCTAGAGAATTAACAGTTTCCCTTTAATGCTTACAGAAACATATTCCTTCTTAGAATAAAACCAAATGGTATACACTAGAGCAATGGTAGGCAACATTCAGATTTCCTCTAATGTTTTCCCTGCATTATAGCTGTGAGAGCATTATGGGAGATGTAGTCCACAACATCTGGAATACCAAATGTTGTCTACCCCTGAAAGGCGTATGAAAAAAGGAACATTTATTATCTCTTTAACATATTGAATTCCTTTTAGCAACCCAGGAGAACAGGACTTTGAAGTACTCCAAATCAGCTGTTGCTCGTCTCACAAATGACCTGATGGATGGGTACCAGAAAGAGGTTAGACCAGTGCGTGATTGGAGAAAGCCCACCATTGTGTACATAGATTTCCTTCTATATGCCATCCTGGGAGTGGTAAGTTAAATAACTATCTGTGATACATACGTCATGTTAATGTTATTTTATATCCAAGGTATTATCATTTTCAAAAGTTCTAACATATTCTAATTTAATATCTAGTAGATGCAGAATGGTAATGCACCCGATGTTTTCCAGTAGAATTCAAAATACTATTTAAAAAGTTCCAACAACTAGCTACATAAATTTGACTAATCCCTTTACATTTCTGAATTCCCAGAGAGCATCATACATTTGAAAAGAAATCTGTAAATGTGACTTTAAATATATATATTATATACAGGAAGTGGAAAAAAGGTAAAATTTGTTTTGATTTAAATTCTTCACCTCATTAAAATGGCATACTTAGTTCAGTGTAATAGTTGTTATGCATTTATTTCATGTTCCACTTTTGGAGGTTTGAATGCTGTCTAATCTGTAGACAATTCTCTATATTGCAGCAGGAAATTGTATTTTTAAAGTCTGAGATTTTTAAATTAACCATTACACAAGCTCAGGCTGGGACTGTTGCAAACTAACTGCCTTCAGCCATATGGCCTCTGCCTCTAGCCATATGGCCTCTGTCTCTTAATTAATAAACTAATTTCTTTGAAATGTTAATGATCATTAGCCTTGTGCTCAAGTATTATATCCAAAAGAAAGATATATTAATATTTACCCACAGAATTAATATTTAAGCCTCATTTTTGTTATATTTGGAATGTGACCAGCACGATCTTCTAATCAAGCCCAAACATAATTTGTGTAACTTAACCATAGGGGAAGGGATTGTGATGTCTGCTATATTGGGTCACAAGTAAGGAATGTGACAAATCTATGGATTGGGAAAATGGTAACAAATTCATAGATGCAATTATTATTTCTGTGGCAAGTACATAAAAGGAGATAGAACCAAAATGTTTCCATTTGGATTGATGTTGGTCTGGAACACAAAGGGGTGGTCACTTATAGTTACTATAGCTACGCTTTAACTCCTCCTCTGGGCGAGGCATGGTAATCTACAGGATATATATCCAATGATACTGTTGTGTTTGAGGTGTGTTTTTGTACTTGCTTGGGGGCCAGAATCTAATTCTAAGTCTGTCACCACCTTTTCTTACCAGAGACCCCCTAGGGCAGAAGTTTTACTTTGAAAACCTGAGTAAGTGATTAGGACTTCTGTTATTTTATCCCTTTTGTTTTATCTGTTGTTGGTGTAACTAATTTGATTGCAATCTATATTTTTGTATGCACTGTTACTATTTTTTGTTCATAATAAATATTCCTTTATTAAGTTCGGCCTTTGTCTGGCAAAGAATCATGTTACCTGAAGAGACTATTTAGTATTTTGAAATTACATATATATTGTGCTAAGTTACAATTGGTGGGTTTTTATTATTGGGTTACCTGGGGAACCAAGGCACCCTATTTATAAATTGTCTTGGTGGTGGCAGTGTTAAAATAGTAGGGTGGTGTTAAGGGGGGTTTTTATTATTATTTCCGGTCCAGTGCGGACAAATAGTGAACTTGAAGGAGGGTGCATTCGTGACACATACACAATCGAAACTGTTCTCTCTCCTGTGACTGTTTGTCTAAAGTTACCTTCCTCCTTTCATTCATCCTGTATTTCATGCATCCTTAGTGAAGCCTTACGTGCCTGATACATTTTACCAGAACTCTTCCTCCACCAGGACCAGTACAAGTCAACGGGGAAGAAGAGTATGAGGTATCCAAAATCCTTGATTCCCATATACATTGTGGCAAACTACAGTATCTTATCCACTGGAAGGGGTATGGTCCAGAAGAACGGTCTGGAAACCTTCCTCAAATCTCCATGCACCACGTTTGGTCAGATCATTTCATCTCTGTCATGCTGGATGTCCTGCCCCCATCCACATCCAGAGGATGTGTCATAGGAGGAGGGGTATTGTCACAACTTACCTACATCCCGTTGCTGCTCCAGCGGCTATCCTTTACCACGACTACCCGAACCTGCGCATTTATGACCTATGAACATTCATTGCATCACGTCTCCTTGGCGATGGTAGATGCTTAGAAGGCGTGACCTTTAGCCTTGTCTATCATTAGTGAACCTTGCTGCCTCGATTTTGACTATGGACTGCCTGACCTTGCTCTTGCCTTGCCCATTATCGAACTTTGTTTATTATTTGGACTTTTGTTGCTTATTTTTCAAGTACTGCATTTTGGGTTTCATAACCCTAACAAGTGACACCATCACTATTTGGCCCTTCTTAAAGTGACTCAGATCTTTCACTTGCCCATTTTTTCTGCATCCAACACATGAAATTCAAGAACTGACTGTTCACTTGCTGCCTAATATATCCCACCCATTGAAAGTTGTCATTTTAATGATTAATCAATGTTATTCACTTCACTCGTGTCAGCAGTTTTAATGTTATGACTGATCAGTGTATGTGGACATTTTACATAAGGGCTGGTTGCAGGACCTTTTATGAAATTCCAGATTTTTTATTTTTATATTAATGGTGAAATAAACTTTTTATACATTGGAGTATTTCACACAGTATTCACTTTAAGCATTGTATTCACCAGAAATAAGCAAATCTAAAAAAAATGATGAGGCTCAATTGTTGTCAAGTTGTTTTCATTTATGGAAAACCTTTATTACTGTAGGTTTTTCTAAATCATGACAATTGGGGAATAGGGGTTCTGTTCAGTTTACATTTAATATGACGTTTAATTACTTTGTAATCTATTCTGAGTAGCACAGATCTATCGTGTGGCTAGATACATTTATGAAAGCTTTTATTTTTTTCTGTCTTTAGAATGAAAAGAGACAAATGCTGTCAACTTACATTTGGTACAAGCAGGCAAGTAGCCTTTACTAATTCACTTTTCTACTTATGCAACCATGTAAAGGCTTTAATTTTTGGCATAAAGGCATTGCTAGAAATTTGAAAATCTTGAATAAATATTGGCTTGTCTAAGAATAACCATAGCAAGATGTAACTTGCTTTTTTAATATAAATTAAGGGAAATTAAGTGGAAACTGTAACTTTGAATGCATTTTGATGTTCTCTTTACCTATCCAAAATATTTACCAAATAGGTTTTTCTAAAGTCTGAAAACTAAAAGTAAATGTAGAAGACTACACATCAATCATGGAACTGGACATTTCCATCTTAACTTCCTGTTAATCATTGCTGTAAAAAGAGGAGACATAAAACAGTGTTTCTATTCTTCTCCTCATTTGTATTGCGTTCCCTGGCTGTGCCTGCACTGAAGTAGAATGTAATGTTATTTGCTAAATTTTATGGATTTTAAAAGTAAATTGGGATATCACATGAAAAGGTTATCACATGTCAGAGGGAATTTGAATGTTTTATACCAATGTTATACTTACCATAGAAATTACCATACAGATTCAAGGTGTAAAAGTTTAATCCTGTTAAAATCCAGTGTATTCAATCTTTGTCTTCTTTAGATATGGAAAGATGAATTTCTTACCTGGGATCCTAAGGACTATGATAATGTTACTGAGATCTCCCATTCAACAGAAAAGATCTGGACTCCAGACATGTTTGTTTTAGAATAGTAAGTACTTAACGAAAAAACATTTTCTGTTCATATGTATACGATGACAATAAACAAAAATAGCACAACTAAGGGTATGAGATGTTTTTACAAACAAAGGATTGTAGGGAATTGACAAGAACCCTTTTAATTGTTGACCCAAAAAAGTCAAATTGGATACATTTGTTTAAAAGATTCTATAGTGTTAGGAATACAAATCTGTATTCCTAAACCTATAGTGCATTGGTCCCTTCCTCCCTTGCGCCCTCCCCCTCCGGCAAATAAAGGGTTAAAAAAATTTTTTATTTACTCACCCGATTCCAGCACTGATGTCCCTGGGTCAGTGGTCTGCCTCCTCAGAGCATAAGGACTAAGAGTAATTTAAGGGACACAGAGTCCGATAAACTCCCGGAAGTGCCTCTAGAAGTTGTCTGGTAGTCAACCACTAGAGGCTATCTTAGTACTGCATTGTTTTACATGGCAGGACCAGGGGCCTATAGTGTTCATTTCAGCTCTTTTTGACAGCTTTGTTGATTCCATATTATCTTTGCAATTGCATTGTAATTCCCCCACAGCTCTTAAATATATATAAAACAGTATTAAATAGTTCCTTAATAAGTGCATAAAAAATGTAACTTTTAAATATTAGTGTTTGTGTATAAACAAATGGCTTTATGTTGCATAAAGTGCTAACCAGTTGCATAATAATAAAACCAGAAAAAAAACTTCAGTTACAGAGGAAGTGTGTTACTCAAAATAGTGCTTATAGAGCAAAATAATTTAACAGTAGCTCTACATTCTTGTGTAGGATTCCCTCTACCCCACACACCACAATAAACGCACACTTATCCAATGGTATAAGATACACCTATACCAACCATGGAGCGAATCAATAACCAAAAGGGGTAGCTTGCCATGTGTGCATAATAGTATGTACAGAAGATGATGTCCAGCACATACAAACAGAAAAAAACAATATCTAGTGCAGATGGTAATGAACAACAATGGTGTATTTATTCCTTAAAATTGGGTCACTCACATGTAATGGAGCCTATGTATATTGGCTCTGTGTATAGGGCTGCTATGCTCTTAGGGCAGCATCACACCACTTCCTCATAAGGATATTCCCTCCGGTGGAGATAAGAGAGGAAAGCATCCAATAACTAGTATATCCAGTATACAAACTCTAAAAGTATAAATAAGGTATTGTGGTCACCTTTTTAAGAGCCTTAAAATCCAGGTTCTAAGGTATACAGGTATGGTGCCACTATAGAGGGGATGGCACTTCCCCAATGAAGATTCCTGAGGCTTCAAAGGATTCTTAAAAATACTAGTATATTTATCAATTAACAACAACAACAAAAAATAGTAAAAAAAACCCATAAAATATTGTCCACATGCATGTTTCGCTCCTTCCCTGAGCTTCTTCAGTCAGCTGTGAAAATCTCTGAGAATCTTACTTTTTATGTATCCTATGGATCCTCCTCTTAGGTCTCATGTGGTATTGAATCAGCCAATCATAGAAAATTCGGGATTCCCGACCCTTTAATTATACATGACCACCTGTTTAGGTACAATCCAATTTGTTGGCATTATTCCTGCCATACTACAACTTTAAATTTATTGGTGGTTTGTGGTGATGGACATAAACTTGTGACACACATTCCAAAGTTGGCGGCAGTGGCATTGCAGAATATACCGCAGGTGCTCGAGGAAGTCTCGCACCTTGTCAGACTTTCTACATTATACATTTGTCTTGCATTAATACAGCACAGCCCTCACCCTTGCTAAACAATACTACTTTTCCTCTCTCATTAGTTCATGCTCCTGCAATCCTAGGCATCATTTTAATACCTTTATTTCTCTACTTCGCTCCGCTGTGGCCACCCCACAAACTAATCTTTCAGCTGATAGCTTTGCATGTTACTTTACTGACAAGATTAAACAGTTAAGGAATGAATTCTCCCCCCTTATCCACTCTCTATCTCAACTTCACTTGGACCATACCATCCCTACCCTCTAAGACTTCTCTCCAGCTACTGAACAGGAGGTGGCTGTGCTTCTCCTTTCCTCTCATCCCACCATATGTCCACTTGATCCCATACCGTCCCACCTCATCAGATCTCTCACCCCTTGTCTGGTGCAGTCATTAACGCACATCTTCAGCTGCTCTCTTTCTTTTGGTGTTGTCCCAGCTATCCTTAAACATGCTACTATTTTACCTGTCCTCACAAATCCATCTCTTGACCCAATTTCCCCTTCCAACTATCGTCCCATAGCCCTGCTTCCTTTTTCCTCTAAGCATTTGGAAAGACTTGTCTTTACCCATCTGACTTGCTTCCTCAATTCCAACTCTCTCTTTGACCCTCTTCGGTCTGTATTCTGCCTCCTCCACTCCACAGAGACTGCTCTGATTTGAGTTACAAACAATCTAATTGCAGCTAAATCCAAAGGCCACTACTCCATACTAATTCTTCTTGACCTCTCTGCTACCTTTGACACTGTTGATCATGGCCTCCTTCTCCTAACTCTTCAATCTCTTGGTCTCTGTGACACAGCCCTCTCATGGTTCTCTTCCTATCTCTCCCAACACTCTTTCAGTTTCTCCTTTTCCTCCTCGTCCTGTCTCAGTTGGAGTCCATCAAGGTTCAGTTCTTGGTCCCCTTTTGTTCTCTCTCTATACTGCCTCTCTTGGCAAACTCATTAATTAATTTGGATTTAACTACCACCTGTATGCTGATGACACCCAGATATATCTCACCTCGCTTTAACTCTCACCTGCTGTCCCACAACGTGTCATCAATTGCCTTTCTTCTATCTCTGAATGAATATCCTTACACATTCTGAAACTCAATCTCTCTAAAACTGAGTTTATTATTTTTTCTTCCTCATAACACTGATCACTCTCCCTGCAGGTTGATGGTACCTGCCTCACCCCATCCTTTTAAGCTCACTGTCTTAGTGTCATTTATGGACCTGGCCTCACCTTTGTGCCTCGTGTCCAGTCTGTTGCTAAAACCTGATGATTCCACCCTAAAACCATTGACCACATACTCCCCTTTCTTACTCAAGATGCTGCCAAAGAGCTAGTTCATGTGCTGGTAATCTCTCGCATTGATTACTGTAATTCTCTCCTAATTGATCTCCCCAGAAGCCGTACTTCCCCCCTATAATTTGTGATGAATGCTGCTGCCAGGCTGATCTTTCTCTCCTGTCGCTCCTCTCACACCTCACCCCTCTGTCAATCCTTACACTGGATTCCTATAACCTACAAGTGTCAATTTAAAGTACTAACCCTTACTTACAAAGCTCTAATCAACTCTAGCCCCTCTTACATTCCTACACTGATTCATAGGTATGCCGCCTCTCTATCTCTCCACTCTACTGGTAACCTTCTCCTGTCTGCTCCTCGCACCCTTACTGCAAATTCACGCCTGCAAGACTTCTCACAGGCAGCTCCTTTCCTTTGTAATAGCCTGCCTATCCCTGTCAGACTCTCTCCTAGTCATCAATCCTTTAAAAAGTCCCTCAAAACCCATTTTTGTGTGCTTATGGCCACCAAGAATAACTTCTATCTCTCAAACATTCCTCTTGCTCTTTCCACAAGGGCCACACTTTACTCTCACATTCAGTTCTGCTACTTTCCCACCACGTCTATTTGCTGTCTCTCTCAATGCCCTTCCTATAGTGTTTTTATACCCCACCTCTTCTAGTTTGTAAGCTCGTTTGAACAGGGTCTTCAACTACCTATTTTTACACTTTGTTATTGTCTCATTGGTAAATTCTCTCTTTTATTGTAAAGCACTGCAGAATAAGCTGGCGCATGACCACCCCATCGGACAACCACCCTGTGCCACTGCTCCTCCATCATGTACTTCCCTCTTACTGATGAGTCCACCCTCCCCCTGTGCGCAAGATGAGAGGGAGTCACATTTGAACGCCATTCATAGCCACGTCACAAGCCACATCATCTGTCTTCCTGCCATCCTAACACATCATCTGATCGCAAGCTGACAATTATCCCACACACGTCGGGGACTAGCGGGTTGCGTGAATGTGCAATAAAACAGAGCAAAACATTTTTGAACATACAGAAATATATTGTATAAGTGCCACCAATAAAGTGCCAGTACAAAATTAACATCGACTGAGAAAGCCTTAAAGAGGTGAAATGCCATGTGTACATTTTATTACTTATTTTTGATTATGATTGTTTATTTTGCCTTTCTGTTAATATTATTTATGTATCTATTGGATTTATTTATGTATTTTATTTAATAAATATATATTTTGCCTTTATCTGGAGTGCATCCCTCATCTGACCATCAAGGGTGACGCCTCCCACAAAGAGATGCATTGTGGTTTCAAAGATCCTGATTTGTGGCTCTTATACATGTGATTGGTTCTTCATTCATTTTTATTCTCTATGGTTTTAAGCATACTATACTATATACTGCTTTTATATGCTTTTTTAAATTTTTGAAGGTGCACGTTGACATATCATGAGTTACAGTGACATAAGTAAAATATGCATCATGGCATAATACAGGTTTAGAGGAATCACATAACTTGTCAAGTGAAACTGCACACATTTTCAAATTTTTTAACATGGTACAAGAACTGGTAGCAGTGCAAGCCGGTACTCCCAGGCTTATGACCCTTTAGGAGGTTAGCCAACATGCAATATCACATCCTTTGATGTTGAAACTTAATGTTTAATCTGTTGTTGCAAAATAACGTAAAGTAAAATGAAAGGTAAAAAAAGGAGGTAAACAAGTTGAGACTCCACTGGTGCAACAGTGAGCCACCTCAGCAGATATTCATCACTCTAGGGAACATGGGTTAAGCACAGGCTGTATTTATTTGTTTGGCAAGAGTAATCAAAGCCCCCAGCGATATTGTATGCCTGCTGTTCTCAGGCGGCTGGTAAAGTGGTACATTGTTTTCCGCCAGTGCAGCGTGGACCTTGTTAAGTCCTGAAAGAAGAGCAATTGGGCATTTTCAAATTCCAGGGGTGTCTTGCCTCTCACCACCGTGTGATTGGTAGATTTGTCTTGCGATGTGGCACAGCACGGAATAACATCTTAAGCTTCTGTGGATAGTGAGTTGGGCACTGCTGGTAAGCGGTATATGCCCTCAAGAGATATTTTCCGGGTAACTGACAGAGACAGGATGGTGGCCATTAGTCTCCTGAGAAACTGTGGCAGTTCAACTAATATGATCACTGCAGGTACACCGCAGAGCTTAATGTGGTTGCAGCGCAATCGAACCTCTTGGGTGGACACCTGTAGCGCTAGTGCCTGGTGGGCTGCTTGTAATGTTTGCAGTGTGTCTGTGAGGTTAGACACACCGTTGTTTAATTTGAGAATGTTCTCCTCCATGACGCTTACCCTTTCAGTGCTTTGGCTAACATCCACCTTTAGGATGCCGATATACGTGGCAAGCAAGTCCTGGAGTTCTTTCATCCATCGTTGGAGGTCATGTTTTGTGGCAATGGTCTAATCCCCTGGTTCTTTAAGGGCTGGGAGCATGGTGTTTTGTTCCCTTCTGCCCACGTTGCCGGTGAGTGGACTTGTGGAGTAGGCCACGCTGGGGCAGGTAAGGCCTCTCTACAGCTGTCAATGCAGCAGCACTCCAATATCTGGTTGTTCAGCTGATGAGCCCAGCTGCAACGTCTGTGTGCGGTGCCTCATTGTTGTGGAGGTGTTGTTAAGTGTGGAGGTGTCTTCCCCCTCTGTGTCTAGGTCATCATACACCCGAGTGCCTCCGAGGAGAGTCTCAAGGTTATGTATGGAAGGCCCTGCTTTTGCGTTTGACCATACTGGATTTTGAGGGTTGAAAGAAAGGCATCTATCTGCTCCTCTATGTGCCCTGAGCCGGTGTGTGGTCTTAGTCTGGCCGGATGGGGGATGAGTTACGAGATATCAGCAGATTATGTATATCGAAGTTTGGAGCCGACATACATGGTATCTGTTCATCTTTGGTACCAAGACCTGCCCCAATTTTATATGTTTTTATCCCTGAGGAACACAAAACTACAGCCAAGAGGGGAGTAGTCTCCCATAAAGACTCCAAGGTGCAAAAGTACATCTGAATTCCAGGCTCTAGTCCATGTGAGTGGACAGCTATAAGGGATTTTTTTGTGGTGGAATATATATTTTCATATTACCATACATTTTTCACTATTGTGCTAATTTTAGCTATTTTTGTACTGGCACTTTATAGGTGGCACTAACATTTTCTGTGCATTCAAAAACTTTTTGTTGTTTTTTTGCACATTCCTTACATTATTACGTAATTGGTTAGCACTTTATGCAACTCAAAGTCATTTGATTTATATTTTTTCATATTGAATCACTGAAATCATGAACACTACATTTGTGGTTATTTATTTATGGTGTTTAAAGGAAGGACTTAAGAGTAGAAAGCACATTTGCACACTATTCATAGTTTTTTAATAAAAGGAATATAATTAAAGCACCTTTTTATACTTTGTAGTTTTGATATATGCTTTTATAATATATGCTTTTATAAAAGCTAAACTGTAAATTTATTTTCATTTATTGTCTGGAAATTAAGTTGGAAATTACTTCTCAAAAATCTTCAGTGTGCTCGCTGAACACGACCAAAAGTCATTAGCTATTATAAGAGACCCAATGTTCCACTAAACAGGATCCAAATGTTTCATACCTTACATTTCACACTGGACTCCATGTAGTAGTTGGTGGCAAAAAAAAACATCATAATCTTTTATGTCAAAAGGCTTTTCACTAGTTGATATAGCTAAGTAGTACAACCACAGCTAAATGGCTACATTGAAAACCCCAAAAATTGCAGTGGCGGCATTCCCCAGAATTTTACTCCTCCCTATGCAGGGCAGAGATGCTTAAACATTACAGAGAGCTGAGTATAATACAGATATGCTAATACAATAAAACAAACTGGGCACAACAATCATTACAGATTAAAACAGATTGAAATCAGAATTTAGATCAGTCCTCAGAGTCACAGCCCCCGTCCTACAGTTTGTAGATTCACAAATGATTAACTAGCTACAGCATGAGTGTCTTAGGTCTCAGCTGTAGAGTGACTAAGCAGTTTAAAGAAGATGATGGGTATATGCAGTAGGAGTTATTATAATTATTATTGACAGACAGCACAGTGCTGTGTGTCAGAAATGCCTCCTCCCCTTGTCACCCCTGTGCTTCTTTGTCTTTATATATTATAATTATATATTTGATTAAATTGCTTCATCAGCCCTCAGGCAGTCACTAAGACTATTGGGAGAGAGAAAAAGCTAATATTATATACTTACATTTGGCAGGGGCCAGGAGATGTTGCTGCTATGCTGTGTTACTTCCAAGATGACTTTTTGCATCTCTCTCCTGTGAGCACTGTAAGCACACCCCCTGCTGCTATGAGCTAATGATGGTCCCTGAATAAAGGGCATTCACTTATGGGTAACTGGCCCTGCTACTCGAATGGCAACTCAATGGAAATTCCTGAAAATCCTTCTTAAAGGTCACAAGGCATGAGCAAAACCTGCTGAAACAGGGCAGATTTCACACCAGCCCCATTTTTTTAAATGCCTAAATGCTCTCATGTTTGAAACCTATTGCGGATTTAAAGAGACACATTTCTTTTCTATATTATACCTTACCTCCCCTCCAGAATTTTAGTGTTTTAAAAAAACTGGTGGGTACTGCCCCAATTGGCCCTATAGACAAGAGTCCATTGCTTTAATTGTATAGCTTGTTAGCAACTGTCAAGAGCATGCTTTGTTGTGAAAATCTTACTGTTCCAGGGCTATGTGCAGAAAAAATGAACAGGTTTCAATAATTTGCTGGACTACAACTGCAAATAAATTAGCCAGTCAAAAATTCCATGACAATAACAAGTAGATCAACAAACAATATGGCTTCTATTAAAACCAGGCTAGTGAAAAAATAGTGAAGTACTGATGTGTAGTACCACACATCGTAGATACTGAATTTCATTAATCTCATATTAAACATTTCCATTTTTACAGGAACTTGGATAGAAGCAAATTTTTTATTGAGTGTCTATTGAAAAACATATATATTAAAACAGTCGGACACAAAATGGTATCCAATAATAAAATAAAAATGTATTCAATAAATCAAGGAAATTGTTGCAAATATGTTCAAAAGGTCAATTTTGTTGACCAATCCTTACATCAGACAATCTACACCCTGTTCCAAATTATTATCCAAATTCTATTTAAGCGTCACAAAGATTAAATAGTTTGTTTTTCAGTTTAACTCATGGATGGCATTGTATCTCAGGGCTCTTTTGATCACTGAAAACAATCTTGGACACCTGTGATAAATAGATTGCCAGGTGAGCCCAATTTAAGGAAAAACTACTAAAGGAGGATGTTCCACATTATTAAGCAGAGCACCATTTTCATGCAATATGGGAAAGAAAAAGGATCTCTCTGCTGCCGAAAAGAGTAAAATAGTTCAATGCCTTGGACGAGGTATGAAAACATTAGATATTTCATGAAAACTTAAGCGTGGTCATCGCATTATTAAGAGATTTGTGGCTGATTCAGAGCACAGATGGGTTTGTGCAGATAAAGGCACATTGAGGAAGATATCTGTCAGATCCATGCATCGGATCAAGAGAGCAGCTGCTAAAATACCATTATATAGCAGCAAGCAGATATTTGAAGCTGCTGGTGCCTCTGGTGTCCTCCAGAGTCTTGCAACTGTGCATAAACCTTCTATTCGGCCACCACAAACCAATGCTCACAAGCAGAAACGGCTGCATTGGGCAGAAAAATGCATGAAGACTAATTTTCAAACAGTCCTGTTCACTGATGAGTGCCGTGCAACCCTTGAGGGTCCAGATGGATGAAGTAGTGGATGGTTGGTGGACGGCCACCCTGTTCCAACAAGGCTGCGACATCAGCAAGGTGGTGGTGGAGTCATGTTTTGGGCCGGAATCATGGGAAGAGAGCTGGTCGGCCCCTTTAGGGTCCCCGAAGGTGTAAAGATGACCTCTGCAAAGTTTGTGGAATTTCTGACTGACCACTTTCTTCCCTGGTACAGAAGTAAGAACTATGATTTCCATAATGAAATAATCTGCATGCATGACAATGCACCATCTCATGCTGCAAAGAATACCTCTGCATCAATGGCTGCTATGGGGATAAAAGCAGAGAAATTCATGTTGTGGCCTCCATCCTCCCCTGACCTCAATCCTATTGAGAACATTTGGAGCCTCCTTAAGCAAAAGATCTATGAGGGTGGGAGGCAGTTAACATCCAAACAGCAGCTCTGGGAGGCTATTCTGAAATCTTGCAAACAAATTCAAGCAGAAACTGTCCAAAAACTCACAAGTTCAATGGTTGCAAGACTTGTGAAGCTGCTGTCATATAAGGGGTCCTATGTTAACATGTAACGTGACCTGTTAAAATGTTTAAAAAGTTAAAATGTTGTTATAAGTTTGATTGAAATAGCTTTTGATTTCAGTAAATATGCTGCAAACACAACAAATGACAATTTTCAGTTCTTTACAACCTATAAAGTGTTTTGAAACTTACTGTGCGTAATAATTTGGAACAGTGCATTGTAAGTTTTTTATGTTTTAAAAAAATACTGTTATCATTAGGAGGTTTGTTCAATAAAATTTGAATTGTACTCTTAATAGTTGATAACATGAGAATTATGCTGACTGTTATTTACATCAATTATTTAGGTAAATGAGAAAAATATAATTTGCATAATAATTTGGAACAGGGTGTAGAGAGCTATGGAGAAAGTAAAGTAAACAACAATTAGGTATAATTACATCAAATAGGAAGAAACAAAGCAAAAACCAAAGTTGGTTGGGTGATACAGACTACCGTAACCATAATATGGCCTTGATTTACTTTGTTTGAATAAACATCAGAAATTAATCCAAAATGTTTAAAATTATTAATCTACAAAAATGCCTGTAGACCTTAACGGTAACTCGAGTAGATAAATAATTTGAAAAGCTTTTTTTCCCAACAGAATGGAATTAATTCTGACTTTGATTCAGATTAATTAAATCAAGCCCAATGTAAGCAGGAAGCTCTTCTCTTCTCTGGTCCTGGCTCTCCCTCCTCACCTCCTCTCCCTCACAGCTCATTGGTAAGCTGGGTGGAAGTGAATTATTCTCACTTTCTACCAGCATAGAGCAGGTGGCCTGGTTGTGCTGCTAAAGATCTGTGGTGACTGACTGGGCCCCTAATCAAAGATGGCCCTCAGGTTGCCATAAGTGCATGGGCCACCTGATGGGTCCTCAAAGGCTTGAGTGCCCCAGTGCAGCAGAACAGGTGGCATTGGTGGTAGTTCCGCCTCTGCATAGAAAAACAGACTTGATAGTTCTAAGACAAGGCAAAATGTATCTCTTCCATGACTCTAATGAATTCTACTTTTAAAACGTCTCTAAGTGTTACCTTTCTTCCAAAAATCTGTAATTAATTTTGTGCCTGTAGTTAACAAAGGGGTGTGAATTGAGAAGGGAGTCTGATGTGTTTCCAATAATATGATCTGAAATAAACTATATACTTAGTATTATAAGGTACTACAACCTTAAGGACTCCTGTATAAGGTGAAAAGTTGTTATAACCTGGCAACCTCATTAAGGCCATTAACGTGCAGAACACGTCCTTCACTGGGAGCTGAGACTCTCTTATATGCCTTTCATGCACTTAATAACACAATTTATTAAATTCACGCTTGTAAATGTATCATGTTTATTGTTGGCAATGTGGTTATAATTGAAAATAAAGAGAAGAAATATATTTAAAAAATGATGATTTCTGTTTTTAGTGTGGATATTGAAAAGGCCCCAACAGCCCCTTATGTTGCAGTCAACAATGAAGGCAGAGTGCTCAATAGCAAACCCATGCAAATAGTGACCACCTGTAACCTTAATATCTACTACTTCCCGTTTGATGTGCAAAACTGTACGTTTACCTTCACCAGCTGGATTCACAAACGTATGTTATATATATACATATATATATATATTTTTTTTTTTTTTAACCGTTTTGTTGTATATATTTTTTTTACCATTTTGTTGTAACCACAACCCTTTGTGCCTACTTGTTCAATGATTCAGTGTGTCTGCTTCTTGAAAATGCTTTCTTCAGATTGGTAAACAATTTGCCTGTGTGAACAATATCCAAAGTTTACAAATACAAGATACAGGGTGCGCAATAATAACCACCAACACACAGTGAAATATACTAATTAAAGCAAATTTCTGCTGGTACATATCATATACCTTTGATCACTCTAAAAACAGAAAAGCTTACATAGCATAATACTGTTTTATCATGCAAAACAAATAAGAAACAGAGGTTAATGGGTCACTCACACTTCCCAGAGCCATGTATAGCAGGCTCTGGCTGTGTTGGCTTGTCAATAAATAAAGCTGGTTTGATGCAGTTTCAGAACCTGTAGCTCCTTCTCCCAACTTGCTAGGGAAATCTGAAGTATATAAAAGCTATTTACGTCAGAATAAAGTGCAAAATACAGGAAAAAGCAGCGACAAAGCAGTGCATAAAAGTTCAAAATTAATAGCACAACGCGTTTCAGCCTTACGGTCTTCTTCAAGGTGCATAGCTAATCCGCCCTTCTGTCCGTTTATATAGGGACCAAAAAAAACAAACCAAAAAGGCAATGCATTGATTGGCACTAGTTTGTTAAAATGCAAGTGCAGCTAATGTCCAGAGTTTGCAGTCCAAATGGCCTCATATGCACCCCAATGGTTTTACCCCATTAGGTATGGGGCTAACTCTATTACTGTAGGTAAAGGAAAAAAAATATTTCTGCTTTTATGCTGCTACTTCTTAAATAAAAGCAAACAAAGGGATACCATATTGTTTCTCAATGTTGTTATCCTCTAAAAATGCTGTGAAAGGATCACTAAGCAAAAATGTCTATATTCGCTTAATTTAAATTTCTTGTAGATGCAATCTATATGAAAATTAACTTTTTGTCTTGTGCTAGCTTTGCATCATCTATAATAAATGCATGCTACACATTCAGTGTAATTTGCTAAAGTGAGAATCCAAAAGTAATTTTAAATTCAAGACTGAAATAGCCAAACTGGAAAAAATCTATAACTCAGTTTGCTTTCTGTTCGGTTACTTTAAAATTCACTTTAGTAAATAAACCTGTATATTTTTAAATAACAAATTAACATTGGTGGGCTCAGAACCTTTTCTGGTAGGCAGCTCTATTTAGTGATTTTGACCAGTAAACAGAGTGTGACTCCTGTAATATCTATGTAATATATTGGATGGTTTACAATATTTCTTATTTTTTTTCCTGTCCCATTCTTATCTACTTTCACCGAAAAATATATTTCTTACTCTACAGAAGGAGGACTACCCCCTTTACCTTCATAGAAACGAGAAATAAGATTTGATTAATTATTTTCTAAAACATAAGACAAAAAATAATTGGAATTCGTTTTTTTAAAATTTAATTTAATTTTCATTTATTTGCAAAGATTAGAGGTCACAAGTCTAAAAGAAATTGGCTTAATATATAGATATATTCGATTGTAAGATAGTTATATGGTTCTTCTACTGTTCCCAAATATCTAATGGGTTTTATTAGAATTGTTTGTCTTGTTTTACCTACCGTTGTGGTCAAAATTATTCAACCCCTGTTGAAAATCAGGTTTATTGTCAAAATCGACAGACCTTCAGCTATTTGCAACGTACAAATCAAACTAAAACAATTGAAATAGCTCAACACAACAAATGCTTCAAGTGGATTCCCCAAATTCAATGGAAAATTGCAACTTATAATGATAGTTTACAACCATTTTAAATATTAAATCAGGTTTATTTTGTTGAAGCATGCAGGTTTTCTCCTCATATGTCAACAATTAATGCTTTTCCTTTACGTAACGTTCTGGTTTCTAGTGAAGGACATTAATGTATCCCTACATAGAACTCCCGAGGAGATGAATAAGAACATCAGCTTTTTCCATAGTGATGGAGAATGGGATCTTTTGGAATTGTTTCCCTACTACAACACATTCAAAAAAAAATATTCGGAGATAAAGATTAATGTAAGTTAAAGTTGTTCTCCTAATACTCTTACAGTACATGGATTTAGCTCATCATGCTTCATTGTGTTTAATAATAATTGAAATAGGCTGTGATGCTCAATTAACAATAAATAGTTCTATATATAAAAATAATAATAAAAAAAATTGCTTTTTTGGGTGGCATTTTGTGTATTACTCATTCTCGGACCTGGGACTCTGAAGGCTGTGCACAGTATCTTAACTGTTCCTAAAACTGCACTCTTCTGGACAGAGATTTCAGATGTCCCACCTGCAATCCGGTGAAGACACTCTCGCTCAGCTTGAGGGTTACAGCCTTGGGTGGGGTTGTATAGCCTAATCTGTGAATAGGAAGTGGGTAACCGTGAATATTTGAGTAGCAAAGGCAGACTGTACTTAGCTAAAAACCATATATTGTTAAGGAGCAGAAAAGGAAAAGGAACAGAGCTACATAAAAGACTTAAAAGTAACAAACTGTATTGATGACACAGTAAAAGAAAAGAACAAATATATACATAACATACATAAACCACCTACAAACTGTGAATAAACAAACACGAATATGTTCATTAAACAAAAGCCACTTGGCAAGAAGGTGTATTAAATATCCTAAAATGATGAAAAGGCTGTCTTAATAGAGGGTAGGATAAACAAATCAGTCTAGAGATTGTAAAGTCAGAATATGGACTTAATAAGACTAACAGTGGGTATATTCATACAACTGCTAAAGCTGAATGAATGGATGAACAGAATGTAAAATGGGTAAACAATATAGAGGGTGTGTGTGTGTGTATTTTGGGAGGTGGAAGACTACCATGGCATACACAGATACGCTGTAAGAGATACACACTGACAGACATATACACATACATGCACAGATGCATGCACTGACATACAGGCACAGATCCACACATACGGATCCACAAACACTGACCATATGCACACAACACACACACATATACAAAACACACAAAAAACACACCCACTAGAAAATTGTAAATGTACCTGTGGAAGAAAACAAGGGTAAAAATTTTAATTACCCCGTTTTCTATTGTAGATAAAAACAAAGACTCCTCTTCATCTTCATAAAACATATAAAACACCACACTCTACAAAAAATAAAAACTCAAAATACTGTAACCCTGTTACATAAAAGCCCATCATGTTTTTATGTAAAAGAGTTACACTATTTTGAGTTTTTATTTTTTGTAGATTGTGGTGTTTTACACACACATATACACTTGACTCATTCTCACTCAGAGTCCAGCTCTGAAGAAACTCTCCATTGCAGAGAGGTATGCCCGACAATGCAATCTGACCAAGTGTATAGTAAGTTTATAGATGTTTATGATTTTTTTTTTGCTTTATTTTCCTGTGTATGTTTGCTTACAAATGTTTGCATGCTGGTTTAAAAAGGATTGTCATGTGATGCATGTTCCTTTCCTAGAAATAAACAACATAAACAATTAAGAATGGTACAAACGTGGACGAACGATATTGTAAATAGAGAATGTACGAATGTAAGGAATGTACAATATGCCTGTAAATTAATGTTTGGAATCTATGAGATACTGAGATTATTGAGCATTTCTTTACATGTGACTACGTGTATCCATTTACAGATATGTTTTAAAAGAAGACCTATCTTCTACATTGTGCATTTGATCTTGCCAAGCATGTTTCTCATAATTATGGATATCATTGCCTTTTATGTGCCACCGGAGAGTGGAGAAAGGATCTCTTGCAAGATTACAATCCTCTTGGGGTACTCTGTATTTCTTATCATCGTTTCAGATCACATGCCTGCAACTTCTAGTGGAACTCCATTGATAGGTAAAACTATAAATGTATGCATGTCAAGTAGATCTTGTGGTCAGCTGTGCTAGAGTGCTATGTCCATCATGGTAGTTTTGAATGATGTATGTTGTTTAGTTGGGAATAACTTAAGCCAAGATTTGGTAGTTTTTTAATGTAACAATATTTCATTGCAAGTTTCACCTGCTACACATATATACCAGGTGCTAGTTAACAGCAATATCTGTGCCAGTCGCTAGACCCACTGGCATCGTTAAATACAGTCAAAATTTGATATATAATATTGGCTAAATCCAGATACTTTTACAATGGATTTTACCAATAATATTGAATTGAGGCCATAGTGTCATAGGGAGAAAAAATACAAAATTCAAAAAAAATCTAAATTGCAAAAGATAAATTGTAAATCATATATATATAATATTTTTATTTCCGATCCATCGTTATGTTTTGTGTCCTTTGAAATACCATCAATGTCCTTTCTTTTTATAGGTGTATATTTTATAGTCTGTATGGCACTGCTTCTGTTCAGCATAGCAGAAAGTATTTTCATAGTCCGAGTAGTTTTTGAAGAAAGGATCCAGCCTGAAGTTCCTGATTGGGTGAAGAAATTAGTTCTGGAGAAGATGGCAGCTATGCTGTGTAGGCAGAAGTTTAGAAAACACATGGAATCATGTTATAATAGCTCCCATGTATCCTGGGAAATTGGTAGCGCATCTACCGGTAAGGTCTCTGTACAGCATGATGTTATATTTGCTGAAATATACCAGGGAAATTAATATCTAAATATTCTTTTTTATAAAACAAAAAAAATGCCAGTATGACCTTTTTGGTCAAAGAAAAATATGGAAGAAAATAATATTTCAAATCAGGACACAAAAAGGTGTTTTCTAAATGGATTTTGTACATATAAAAAAATTAAACAATATTGTAAGGTCAGGAAAGAGGAAAGTAAAGTTATATATGGGGTTGGCTAAGTGCTTGGAAACACCTGACCACCTTTTTGACATTTAAGAGGTTAAATTCTCTAAGCATTTAACCCCTTTAAAACCCAGAAGTCTGCACGCCTCCTGGGCTCCCAATCATTAAAATATTTAATGCCCAAAACAGGGTTTTAACTTCTTGGAGCTGCATAATGTGTCCTTGAGGCTGGACATCTCCTGGGATCCCAGTCTCTATATTTATGTTATGGGTAGTAATCACTTAGGATGTCAATACCCACTTCCACCACAGTTAAAATCTTTCATCCTCTCAGAACACATTTAGCACTTTAATCCTGACTGTAATAAATTTAAATATAGAAAGAAATATAATTAAAAAAATCCTCATCTATTTCCAAGTGCTTCTGACATGTTCCTTACATCATTCTCTAGTCCGGTGTTTATCTCTCTCAATCTTAGCCATACATTCTCCAAAACATTCTCTACATATCACCACATTAATTACAACAGCCTAATTTATCCTCAAATATTTCTTCACCTCTTCCAGCTTCAGCTCCCATAGACCCACTCCCTGCCCCTCCCGTAATACTGTGGAGTTGGACTTCTTGCTTTGGAATGCAAGATCCTTGTGCAATAAGACCAGTCTCACTTTAGACTTTTTCCTTTATGATTAGTTTGCATTTATGGCAATAAGAAACACAAACTCTTTCCATTAATACTGCTTTTTAATAAAACTTTTTTACACTCCATACCTAACTGGATCTGGAGGTGGAGTTGGTTTTCTGACATCTTCCTCCTAGACTGCTGCACTTAACCACCATACCCTCTCATTGTCTCTCATCCTTTGATGCCCACATCTTCTCTTTCTCTAGCCCACTCCCTATAAAATTGTTAATTATTGACCCCTCCAGCTGATCTCATCCATGGTTGCACCTTTGACCTCATTTTACTTTTGGCTCTAAGGCTGCCCACCAGCTAACCACTACTTACTATCCAGCCTTCCTCACATTTATTTTTGAGTCTAACATGATTTACCCTCTAAGTATTATACCTAGCAATATAGCAATGCTATGAATGTATGAAAGTGTTATTTTCGCTCAGTGTATAATTTGTTAATCTATGTAAAGCACTGTCAATAAGGTGGTATATAAGAATTGTCAAACAAATAAATAAAATAAAAAGAATACTGGGCTTAGGAGACCAGGCAACATCTTGGCTCTCATATTGCATTCCTCTCCACCCAAATCCCATAGGGTGGAGAAGAATAAAGGGCCACATCCTGGGCCACTCCTAGCTTTTTTTGGGATCCCAATAACCCTACAATCTTTTAAAATACATACATATTTATTTATTTGTTCATTTATTTCTTCATTTATTTATGTATTTATTGATTTTGTAATGAAGAGAGCTGATTAGTTTAAGAATGCATAGCTGAGCAATTTCAGAGCTAATTTGGGCATGTTTTGTAATTGTCATAAGTTCAATTCTTAATAGCAATTCTGGACTTTCAAGGCAATCAGCAACAGTTTTACCTTTGATCCCAACTTGCTCATCTAAATGCTACATTATGCCCATCAGTTTGCTGTTATTTGTCACTTGAAAGAGGTCAAACACATCAAAATGTGTGGCTAATTTCACAATACCAATATATTCGAAAGCTCATTATTCGATTCTGATTTTACTTTATATAGAGAAACTATCTAAGCGTAATGATGTGAATGCAGAAGATTCAACTGAAGAGATTCTACAAAAAGAAGCAAATCCTGGAATTCTGGATAAAATCCTCAAAGAGATAGCATTCATCAGAAGTAACCTAGAGAAGAAAGACAAAAATGCTGTCACCAGGGAGTGGCTACTGGTTGCATATATTCTAGATGTATTTATGTTTCGTGTGTACCTTTTGGCTGTGTTAGCATATCTGTTATCTTTGTCATTAATTTGGTCCCGATGGCAGTTGGCCTAACATTCGGGGAATCAACTGACTTAAGAATATATCTTGCATGAATTCTATGATGTATTACTCTAATACATTTAACTATATACAAAAAAATGTACACCTTAGTTAATAATATAACCACCAGAGACCAGGCAAACCCCATAATGCATTAATACATGCAGAAAAGGCTAACATAAGTTAGGTCAAAATCCCCTGATGTAGGGATGGTAGAAGGCAAAGCAAAACTTGACAGAAGAGTGTAGTTAGCCTATGCCTAAGCTGGGGAGAGAAGACTGGCATTCAACCTATAAAAACATGTGCATCCCCCAGACCCAGACTGTCAGCCCTAGGTCCATTCCAGAGACCACACACTGTCTGATAGCCCCACCACACCTGGAGGGTTGCGAGCAGCCTCAGTAAGGAAGGCTGATGTGTCATCGCTGCCAGTCTGCTGCCAGTCTGCACCAGAGTTGATTGTATGTAGCATCACAAGCTGCTTCCCATTGCTGCTGATTGATCTCCATCATGTGCTCAGCTACTGGGATGTCGACAGCTATCTTAGGTAGGCAAGTACTCTGCTCACTTGTAGCTTGCGTGCTGGCATCCAGGGCCTGCCCGCAGCTCCAGTGTGGACCGGGATGACCCCAACTGGCCCAGAGGGGGGTGGAATGGGGTACCAACAGGACTATGCAACAGAATCAGCGGCTAAAGTATGCGAGATTAGCCTCATCGCTGCCTTCAGGACCCACCAGGCTTTACAGGCAACATCTTGAGTTCCAGGATGCAGAGATCAAGGGAAAACTTGATAATGAGGCTTATGGCTCCCTCACCTTGAAAGGTCAGGTAACTGAAAAATAAGGGTAGAATGCTGCAATTTAAACTGTTTTTTCAGGATTTGGTGAGGAGCCCTACTCAGACATGTCTGCTCGGTCTGACCACTAGTCATTCTATGATTTTAATTGACCTAATTGCTTCTGCTAATTTGACTTGAGTTGATCAAATTTGTTATCCTCCCTAATCAAAGACATGGGATGGCTAAATCTGCATTTAAAGGACAACTGTCATGAAAAGATCATCTAAATGGGCATTAAATAAAGGTTTATAGGAATGAGAAAATGCCTGGGAAATTGATACGGGGAGAGAGATATGATATATTTAGCCTGCCCTTCCATGAAGACAAAACTTGGTGATGACAAATTATTTTTACCACCCTTGGCAGATCATATAGATCTAGTGCTTGGAAGACTGTTTAAAGGACCACTCTAGGCACCCAGACCACTTCAGCTTAATGAAGTGGTCTGGGTGCCAGGTCCAGCTAGGGTTAACACATTTTTTCATAAACATAGCAGTTTCAGAGAAACTGCTATGTTTATGAATGGGTTAAGCCTTCCCCCTAATCCTCTAGTGGCTGTCTCATTGACAGCCACTAGAAGCGCTTGCGTGCTTCTCACTGTGATTTTCACAGTGAGAGCACGCCAGCGTCCATAGGAAAGCATTGTAAATGCTTTCCTATGCGACCGGCTGAATGCGCGCGCAGCTCTTGCCACGCGTGCGCATTCAGCCGACGGGGCGGATCGGAGGAGGAGAGGAGGCAGAGAGCTCTCCGCCCAGCGCTGGAAAAGGTAAGTTTAACCCCTTTTCCCCTTTCCAGAGCCGGGCGGGAGGGGGACCCTGAGGGTGGGGGCACCCTCAGGGCACTATAGTGCCAGGAAAACGAGTATGCTTTCCTGGCACTATAGTGGTCCTTTAACTGGAGAAATATGAGGAGAAATAAGGACTGTCAGATAAACGGGATTTTCTAAAAAAAAAGAAAAAACATCTGCATATTTATTTTAAAAATAAATACTATTTACGTTTAAGAGCACTTAAATATTCCTAACATTTGAAAAAAAAAATCTTGACAGTTGTCCTTTAATAATAAGAAACATACACAGTGTTTAGTCTAGCCTTGTCTTTAATTATGTTATGAATCCTAGCAAAGCCAGTAAAAGGACTTAAGCAAAGATCAACTAATCGTAATCACATTCTCCTTGAAACAACATTTGCATTGGAAAGTTTTGCAGGTAACAAAGCATACATTTGTCTGCTCAAGGCTCTGAACACTATTTATAACTTCCTGGTCTAAATGCTGTCTCCTAATCTGGTGTCCTTGCTTTGAATTCATATAAATACAAATATCAAAAAGATGCTATTAGTAGAAATCAGGTCTGTATTATTTCAAACTTCTTTGAAAAGTTATCGTTTGCCGTCAACATTTATGGCGGAAATTTTAAAAATTTTCCTAGGTCATTATATTATTTTTTTTTCAAGTATCTCAAATATATCCAATTTGTGTTTTTGTCCTCATTGCATGACGTTATTGACTCAATACTTTACAATATATTTTGATGCAAAATAAACTTTTTGGTCTGCATTTGCCTGCTACCCAACTTCGTTGTAGTATTAACAATAGCTGGTGTGTGTATTGAAGCACCATAAACTCACTCTAAAACGTAATTTTTTTTAGGTAGTGTTTCGTTATAGCCAAAGCATTAATCGTCTGAAGTATTTGCCAGAGAAACTCACTTAAGAAATAACTTGCACTATTTTTTTTTTTTTACATTCTTTATTTTTGCTGTGCGAAAGATTACAATCAGGCTTGCAATGCCACAGTAGCGAGAACAAGTTTCAATAATATGCATGGTTTTATATGAGCATGGCATTTAGGGAGTCTGCACAGTTTGTATGTAAATAATAATAACAAAAATAACAACAGACATGTCTAGTTGGTAGGTACAATAAGTTAGATATACCGTATATCAGAAGTGAGGGTAGTCGAGTATTATTGTTCCTATGCTTGCCAGGTTAACATGCAACTCATAAATCAAGACATAAAGTAGGTACTAAATAACAGGCTACTTCAAAATGCTGGCAATATACATATATGTTATTTAGCCACTAGAACTTGAGACATTATCTCATTGCCGCACTACACCAAAAATAAATTAGTAGAAGAAAAAAGAACAAAAATAGAGAGCAGTGGAGAGAAATAAAAAGTTATATGCAGTGCTCATCATGTTACAAACAAAATAGTGTCCGCCCTTCACATAAACGTGCCCATCTCAATCAGAGTACCCATAGCCTGTATCAGCCAACTCCTTAAAGTGGTAGGATAGGTATGTGTATAGAAAAGTAGGGAAGGATTGGAACAGGGCTTTCCCCTCACCCCAGGCTGGAATGTATCATCAGTCCACTGGTTTGGACAATCTCACTGACCGAATCCTTTCCCACTGGGGTATTCAGGAGGTCCAGTGGTTGCTTGCAGCTTGTGACGAATAACTTTCTGCCTGTGTGGTCATTGCTGAGAGACAATACCTCGGGAGGTTTTAGGCCCGGGTAGGTGAATAGCAGGATGGCAAGACTAGTGTGAGGTTACAGTGTTCTGGGGTGGGTCCTCTCGTTTCCGGTAGTGGGTTTCTACGCTCGCCCCCTCACCACTTAGTTGGGGTGGCATTAGCATGCTCCTGTAGTTTTTCCTAGAAGTCCCTAAAGATCTCATCCAGGCGAGATTCTATGGAGCTGCAAGGAGGTGGGTACAGACCCTGCATATCAGGTGAGGTGGCGTTCATCATCTTGTATAGTCGAGGTGCTGCAAGCTTGCAACCTGGAACTAATAGTAAGTGCAGTTAGAATAGCTTATG